CCGGTGCCTTAAACCGGCGCCTTAGACCGCTCGGCCACGCTGCCTGTTTTCATTATATAACAAATATCAATCTCAATGCTACTATCGATGATCAAAACCAACCAAAAATCGAATCATTTTTAAAATAAAATATTAATATAACCTTTTCATTCATAGCAGTAAAGTCACAAGATATTTATTTTTCTAATTAAAACAATAATTTCATTACATTTGAGTCTCTACAATATTTCTGTTTTTAAATAATTGATGCATTTTTGGATCAATAAATGGTAAACTAATTGCAAGTATAACAGCATCAATACTTGATGCAACCCAACCAATAGAGTTCATATTAGGATCTATATAACCTTTTGGTAAATAGACAAATAAATCAATAAATAATGGAAGAGATACTATACTTAAAATAACTATAATTATTATAATACGCTGAATAACAATAAAATCTCGTCGATTTCTTTGCTGATAAGCTATCGTTGTTATACCACGCATTTTCAAAATAATACTCATATAACATATAGAAATAATCGATAATGGTAAAACAAAGGCTACAATAGGCATGTATATTAATGAGGCAAGTTTCATGTAAGATGCCGTACAATAAGGTTCATTAGGTAATAAATATATTGCATTAAAACCAATGAATATTGGAAATGTCGTAAGAAATCCAAGTAGAAAATCCATTGGAATAAATATATATAAATATGTAGTTGATTGGTGTAACCATTTACGATAGGGAAAAATAACTCGTGTAAAACGATATATAGATTTAATTGCAAAACTCCAATATAAACTATTATGTATTGATAAAAGTATATAACCAAGAAATCGACATTGAAATGAATCAATAAATTCTGTAATTGATAAATAATTTCGTTTAATTGTATTTAAATCAATTTCAATAAATTGTAATATACTTCGTATAATAAGTATAAAAAGTGTATTCAATGATAGAAGTATACTTGTTTCTTGAAAGAATTTTTTTCTTTGTAAACTATTAAAATGAAAAAATTTATATAATACAATACATAGAAAACTTAATGAAATTAATAAAGTTAAAAGATTCGTAATAGTAGAAGTAAGATCTCGAATTTGTCCAAAAACTGTTGACGGTGATAAAATTGCCATAATTACTACTTGGAAAAAAAATCTTTTTAAATGAACGTAAAACTAGAAATATTCTTTAAAATACTTTGCCATCAATCTTTCTAAGTAGACAATCAATTCATTCAAATACTCACAAAGATGACAGGAAGAGGCATAAGTACAATACATTAGTGATAATTTATAGGAAAATATGAGAGTTTTCTTTTCATCATCAAATATTATTTAAGATGAGAAAATAATTTTTTTAACCTGAATGTACTCTATATAAAATATAAAATATCCAGGTTAGAAATAATTTTTCGATTTCTTGAAAATGAAATGAGCAATCATTTTATGCATATATTGATAATTATTATTTAAAAAAATTATTATTGCAAAAAATACAACTTTTAAACTATATGAATGTTTTTAATCCATCGAATCACTGTCAAATGCTAATGCTACTTCAGTTTTTTTAACAATTGTTTGAATTACTTGATCATGTGCTTGAATTTCTCCAGCTCGTAAAATACACATACTTTGATCAAGAAAACTTTTAACCAGAGCAGCAAACCGCAATGATGCTTCATAATAACCAAATCGATATATCATATATTTAAACAATATTTCAATATAAATATTTTGAATATAAAATAAACGATTTGTATTTGAAAAAACTGAATCCATCTCTGTTCGATTAAATTGAACTAAAAATATTAATAATATTATTTTATTCATTAGATAAAATCTAAATGTAAAACTCATTCTAATAATAGTTTTTTCGTGTATTTTACATATAAAAAGGTAAATGTGAATTATAAATGAAGGTTCTTTTTTTTACAGATGGTACCAATCAAGGTCAAAAGAAAAAAGTCAGGGAGTGCACATAGTTTTTAAACAATTCAGAATAATAGACATATTTTCTATAGCTCCTTGTAAATAAAAATACATGCTGAAAAACATTAACAAAAAAGCCTAGAATGTATTAGACATATTTCTTGATGTTAAAATGATAAAAGTATGTTTTGTAATTTCTGTTTAGATAAACCTAATAATACAGTCATTAGATAATCAATAGAAAAAATATCAATTAAATTCATTTGAGAATAATGGACATATAATTAGTAGAAAAAACATAAGCAGATCTATCCTAAACTATAACTAAATCTTAAAGTTAATTAACTCTCTTACGCATGAAAACGTTCCTGATTATATGTTTTAAGAGTAAAAGAAAAGCGTTATGGATCTTGTCGGAACTCCGAACATCCTACGATAGTAAATAAGATCATTTATTACTTACAACTATTATTTACAGTATTTGATGTTAAACCATAATATGAAGTTGAAAATAATAAAACAGGTATGAATAATTTAATCAATGTAACATCATTATCAGTTCGATGAGCAACATTACTAGCTTCATTTGCAATTGTCGAACCATAAATTGAAGGAAATCCATTTTTAAATGCTGTACTAGATACAACTTCTGCATCACGAAAAACAAGAATACTATTAAAACCTCCAACATATGAAAGATTTCGATCAATTAATTCTCGTCGATCATGAATATGCATTGTTTGAAATTCTGGTAATGTTTCAACAAATGGTAATATTGATTGATATATTGATATAATTATATCTAAAAAATATGTTTTGTCCATTTTAAAACGTACTTTTATTGGATGTTTAGATTGTGTAGATAATAATTGACGAACATGTCCAACAGGAGATTTTGTATTATAAGCATTAATTATATTTGATAAATGAGACCATTGATTATCTGTTAATACTGAACGATTATTATAACGTAAATCAATTGGAGGTAATAAAGAAACAGTTTTAACATCAGATTTTCCTTGACGACAATGGGATGCACGTAATAATTCTCTTTGCATTCCTATCGCTAAACATTTTTGTAAACGACAATAACGACATGCACGTCGACTATTTATTGTTATATCACATTTTTCATTAAAAACACATTGATGAATATCCTATAATAATAATAAAAACATGGAATAGATACAATTTAATTAACGAACTAAATCAAATTGTATATTTCGACGAAAAAACATTTTACATGATACACAACATAATGCACCATAATGAATTTGTGCACCTTCAGTTCCACAAACTTTACATAGTGAAGATATTTTTGGTTTCTTAACAATTTGAATTATATCGGTTGTTGACGAGCTTTCATCATTATAATCCATTAGCTTCAATACAAATGATCTAAATAATTAATATTTGATTGTAAAAGATTATTTCTAATATATTCTATATAGGAAAACAATCTCGAGTCTTTTCTCTGCAAGGCAACGTGCGATCTGATATTATATACAAAATATGATAACCATTCACTATTGATTAGTTTTATGATTGATATTATTAACCATAGGAATCAATGGAAACTTCTAGAAAAGTAATTTTTCTCACTTAAATAGGAATATTTGAGTACTTTTGAGAGAAATTTCAATCCAGATTATAATACCGACTGGGATTATAAGCTATTTGGGAAGAAAAGTCATGATTTTTAATTGTTAGTAATATTAATTAAAACTAAGAAAAATAATTTCAATTTTTCTATTGTTTTATCTTTGACAGAAGTACTTAATATTACGATTATTAATTTTTAATCTCATCTAGACAAGTACTATTCTTATTGTATAATTTTTATCAAGATTACAAAAATCTAGCTATAAATATATTCGAAATAAAATGAAAACATAAGATGACACTATCTTTGTTTTTTATTGTGATTATACATAGATAATGTAAACTAATCAAAACTGTTGAATAATATTTATTATTTTATTGTTTTTCTTATCTTTATATATAGCCTTATATTATTTTTCCTTACTCTAATAGTGCTATTTTTGGAAAAATTTGATTATAATTTTGTACGACATAAACATAATATCTAAAAATTTCAAATAAATATTGAACTATTGTATTTAAAAAAAATAGTTAACATTTACTAATTAATCAGTTCGATAAATAAAGACATCATTTTTTGACAAGAAAAAAAATAACTAAATTCAGTTCTTCTAAATTGTTTTTCTATCCAATGATTATTCTATTTTATTCTGATCCTATCAGAAGTAACTTACTATTTTTCATGTATAAAGTCAGTCAGATGGCGCTTTTTATTAATAGTACGTCAATGAACTATCAGAGAAAAACGGTGTGACTTGTTTTTTCTCAAGGTATTTGATAATTTATTTTTTTAGTAAAATTACCAACAGTTAATAGCAAAGATAATCAATCGATCAAATTAGTTGTATGAATAATTTATGTTATCTTAATAATTGTTCTAGAATATTCGTTGATATAAAAAAAACAAATGTAAACTGTTTTACTCATAGTTCTGAATATATCTATGTTATAATAAGTACAATCTGACAGTTTTAAGAGAGAAAAAAGTCGATATATCTGTAAATTGTTTTTTCCCCAGTTTTCTATGCATATTAAATAAATAAATCATATGAAATCATCTTATTGTTGATCTTGATCCTCTTCTCTAATATTCTCAAATTTATGGCAAACTATTTTCTAATCAAAATGAATTAGTTGTATATATTCTGAACTACTACATACACGATTAACTATATCGATAGCAAATGACACAAATTTACTAAGAAAATAGTATAATAGTACTATTATACCACGTTTCATGATCTATTTGCATATAAATTCTTATATTTATTATGATTGACTAGCACATTGTGCGTATCTATTTTGTAAAAACAAAATACATCAGAGTTAATCCTGCCAGAAAATTGATGTGATGTAAAAGAATAAACACCGATTACTTTTTTATTTTTTTGTGATTGTAATATTGTATCACAAAGCTAGTATGGATGGAGGCCACTACTTGGCTTTATACTCTAGAAATCAAAATAGTAAGAGAAAGCATTCAGGTATGAAATATTAATCACTTCATATGCACTATATGAGAAACAGTACATAGTAGTAATGGAAAGTGATAGTAATGAAGAAGACATATCGCCAATATATTCAGCCGATTTCAAACATTTACAATGTATTTTTTTAGTTGGTTTTCTTTTGTCAAGAGGTAATGAATTCTAATTTTTGAAATAAATATTCATTTAATCTTTTATTAATACAATAAAAAAAATAATAGCTGCTAATAGTTTACAACTATCATATCGTTATCCAATCTATGATAGTTATGGATATAGTCGATCAACCATTGAATTCTTTTATATAATTGCTCATGCATCAGCTTTATTGATTGGTACCATATTTGCTTCACTTGCTGATCGATTGTAAGTTTTATATAATATACAGAATGAATAATAACTAAGAAATAATTTATAGTGGACGACGTTTAGCATGTATTCTTTGTGGTATACTTTATATAATTAGTTCAATGTCACTTGTAAGTAGAAATAAATATTATTTAAATAATAAATAATTATTTTTTATGTTCAAGCATTTTCGTGTCTTTTGGATACTTGCAATGGGAAATTTAATTCGAGGTGTAGGTAATTCATTTTTTCACACGGAATTTGATGCATGGTTAATACAAGAATACAAAGATGTATATATTGAATTTTTTATATAAAAATATAATTTTTTTTTGAAATAATAGCGTAATTTAAATATGAAATCTCTTCCTCGTGTGCTTCGTAATTCAAGTAAGTTATATATATTATTTTAAATCAATTATTAATTTATTTGTTATTGAATATAGATGTATATGGAACTATTGTTTCGATTGCCACTGGATTTCTTGCACAGATTGTCGTGGAATTCTTTGGTTTTATGTAAGTGAAATATACTTAAAACGTTTACTTATGTATAATAATAAAAATAGATATAATTAAAGTCAACTAGTATTTCTCAATAATAATATAATTCTTTTTCGAAACTAAAATGATGAATTAGAGAGTGTTGGGATTATTTTAACTAAAATATTTTTGACATTTTATAAGAGACTAGTGAGACATATGGAAAATATCTGAGTGTATTTCAATATATCATAAGTATACCGAAATTTTATTTTGATATAATTTAGTGCACCATTTGATACATCCAGTATATTTTTTGTTATTATGATCATTTATATATTACTGGTATGGACAGAAAATCATGGAAATAAAGAAATTTCACCTAGTAGTACATTTGTATCTGCTTTTCAAGTAATTCGATCTGGTTAGTTTTTCACTAGAGAGACTATTCCTTTATTTCTAGAATGTTAAAGTTAGTATTGTTTTACATTTTAATAGTAATATTTGTGACTTAGAACCAGTATCAACTTTAAATAAGAATGATCAAGACTATAGAAGAAAAAATTAGTTAAAAATATTAATAATATTCTTTTTTTTAAATATTAGATTCACGTATTGTTCTTCATGGATTAAGTACTGCTTTATTTGAAACAGCACTTTATATTTATTTTATTGAATGGACACCAACACTTCAACAAGCAAAAAACTTTACTATCGCCGATCCATTACCATTTGGTCTTATATTTGCTTGTTACAAGGTAAAACTATTGATTTTATGACGAGCTCCTCTTCTTAGTTTTATTAAAATAGACATTTAATATGATTGGTTCATTTATTTTTAATGAAGCTGTTGAAAAAATTCGACCTCAAATATTTATAATGCAAGTTTCTTTTTAATATATTGAAAATAATATCCATCTTTCTGATTTTGATAATTTTAGAATCATTGCTATACCATTAATGATTGGACTTAGTATACCAATCATCGTACCAAATGTAAGCATAATATATTATAAATTGGTATTGTAATAAAATCTAAAAACTATATCTAGGCTCAATTAATAATACTAATAGGTTTTTGTACAGTTGAACTTTGTACTGGTGCTTATCGGCCATCAATCGGTTTATTAAGAAGTGAATACATTCCAAATGAAGGTATATACTTTGTAGATATATCTAATTCTATATTATAGTTTATTATAGTTCGATCAACAACTATGAATTATATTCGAATTCCACAACTTATATTAATCATTCTAATTTTATCATTTGTAAATATTTTTTTAGTTTATTATCTATCAATTATTTATATATTTAATTTTTTTATTTTAGCATTTTTCACTGACCATTATTTTTTGTATTGCTGTTAGTATGATGTTTTTGGCAACAATATGTTTAATTATATTAAAAGAGTATGTTAAAAAAATCAATAAGTATTTAATGTTTTGTTAATATAATAAAATATCATTTTAGTATGAAAGCACCAGTACAAAAAGCAGATCTTAGTAAAACAAAAGTATCTGTAGGTCAACCACCAGCACCATTATACATGACGGAGCAATCTCAAATCAATGTAACAGATATAAATTCCCAGCTGAAAAAATAAGAATTAATTGATACGTGTGATATATAATTTTTTCATTTATTATTAGTAATTTGTATTAAATTGTTAGTATATTGCGATTATAATAAAAAAATGTATTCAATTAATGTCTTCCTTTTTAAACTAATACTTCCGCATATAAATATAGATGAACGTGTGATCTACTTAAAGTAGAATGATAGTTTGTATAAGTATCTCATTATCGTTATAACTTCTGAGTTGAGGACGAATTTTTAGTCAGTATGAAGTTACTTCTTTTAGAGTATCTGCAGATAGAAATCTAACGATATCATGCATACATACATAATGCAATAGTGAATAGATGCAGAAGATTATCATTATAATGAATATCTTGTAACAGAAACTTTACAAGTTTAATTTTTCGAAAGAAATTATTCAGTACAATATAAGTAGGTCGCATATTTTCTTTGTTTTATATGAATAACTGTGATTCACAATGAAAGTTTTCATCATCATACCCTCGATCACGCTTTCCCAGGTCGATGATTACGAACTTCGTAAACGATTGGATACGACCGT